GGGAGCCTGGCTCCCTGAGCCCCACACTACAATCACGCTGCATGGCTTCCAGCATGTTACTCCTTCTGCCTCAGTTTCACTTTCCAGAGTAGGACAGGAGGGTGCCCACCTCATCAGTAGGCATCCCTGCTCTCCTAACAGGATGTAGGGTGGCCATGTCTGACAGTAAAGTCTCCTTGCTAAAGCCTAAAAAAGATAGGGACCATAAGAATATGTGGGAGGGTAAGCTAGGTCGGCCCTGGCTCTGATGGCGTGTAACTCCATTAGGACTAAGAAGTTGAAAGCAGAGGTTATGAGCTGATAATGACTCTAAGCCAGTAGCTGGGCAGATAATCCAGTTTATGTATCTGATAAAGTGGGATGGAAATGAGGAACACATTTCCCAGCGCAGTGGGGAGCAGCTTTGTCCTTCCTCAGAGACTCCACAAGCTGCAGACTCTCTTGCCACTCCCTGCCTCCCAGTGAGAGTCCCTGCTGCTGACACTCACTCCATGGGTGGACTATGGCTCTCCGACATGAGGCTGGGCATCCCCGTGAAGGCCACCACCACTTCTGTGAGCCTCAATTTCTTCATCTGTGCAGTGGGAACAACTCCCTCTGCTGAGCACTCAGTGAGATGCCTGCAGGGTGCTCATAAAATGTTCAGTGAATAAACTGATTATAGTAGGTGCTCAGATCATGTTTGCAGAATGAACAATTAAAAGAAGGCATGGAGACCCATCTTTGCGATGGACAGCATTGCCCGCAGGCTTTCGTCTTGGGAGATTTTTGATAGTCGAGGCACTTGGGCTCAACGTGGTTGTATAAGGTGTCCTGGCTCTCAGGGCTCTTTAGACAGGGCCTCTTGTGTTTTGAACCCTGTTGTGTTTAGTCCCATGTGCACTGTGCTTTCCACAGTGTCCGTAAATTTCTCAGAGGGCCTACCGCTTAGCAATGCTTTCAACCATTGCTTAAGCCATAAACACGAACTTCTCTCCCAAGGCGCCGTGGGAGGTAGAGGTTCAGGCCCAGCTCTCAGCTGTGCCATCCACAGCACATGATTCTTTGCCATAGTGCCTGATACGTTACGAACACAAGTAGCCACGGTGACTGCAGGCATCACAGTGATCCTGCCTGGGGACAACTCCTTACACCTCACTAGTTAAGACTGATCAGCCACATAGCCAACTCTGGCTGCAGGGCAGGATGGGAAATAGGCAGCCAGCAAAGGCTGATAGGAAGGCCAGGCCGATCCAGGCCAATCACAACTGACCATGAGACACCTGCTCAAAACACAAGCAGGATTTAGATGGTGGGGGAAAGGAAGGGCAGTGGAGAGTGTGCCCATCTGTGGAAGCCCAGAGCCATTTGCCAGAGACCTAAGGGAGGAAACTGGGCCCCTAGAACTCCCCAGCGACAGGTCCTGGGGCTTGTGGACCTTGGTGCTGATATCCAAAGTGTTATGAGAAGGGACCAGAATCAGAAAACTGCAGCCACACATCAGGTCCATCTGCACAGCTGACCCAGTGTTCACAGCAGCCTGGCACAAGGGGTGTGGCCTCTGTATGCCCTCAGTGCCCCTTGGACTTTTGGGTGACATGATAAACAAGTGCCTTGGGGACCTTGACTGCATCTGCACTTAGGAAGAAAAAGTCTGAAGGATGTGTGGGGGCCTGAGCTGGGGCAATGGGACAGGTAGAGGAGTTAGATCACAGTGTGGAATGTCTATGAGTAAAGACTTTCCCACGTGTGAACATCACTGCTGTGGGTCTCGAAGAAGATTCGAATATTCTAGATAGTGCTCATCAACACAGAGGACAGCTATCATGAGGTATGCTGGTGGTTCATAAGAAAATGTGGACACACATGTATACAGTATACATACACACGAATGTACACACACAATATATACACATAGATATATACATGTGCACAATATACACTTATATACTTGCACAAATGTACACACACAATGTACACATATATACACACAGATGTGTGTACACATGCACAATGGACATACATACACACACAAACATACACAGATGTACATGTGTAGTATACTGACATACATACACAAATATATATTTGCATTCAATGTATACATATATGCATATGCAAACATACATGCACAGAAACATACATGTACAATGTACATATGCACACATTCAAACACATCATATACTATATACATGCCTGAAAAGTGCATGCATTATGTGTGTGCATAGCAGGAGGGGAATGGAGAAAGAAGAGGCGAGCAGATGTGTTTACTAACACTTGGTATCTCTGGTGTAGCATGAATCTTAAAAGTTCTTATTAATAAAATCAAACCCAAGGCAGGTATTGGGGTGAACGCTGCAAGATCAGAGAGACAGAACAGGCCACAGCCACCTCATCTCAACAGTTCCTCAGCTGATCCTGTTTCCTCAGACTGGAGGCCTCTGAGTCCTCTTCCAGAATGGGTCTCAGCTGAACTGCTGCTCGAAAGCCTGAAAGCTTAACCAGCCAAATGCTTCTAGTTTCTGGTCTCCACGCCCTATATATCTTTCTGTTTTTCCCATCACTCCCTGGGATTAAAGGCTCACTTCTTGGGATTAAAGGTGTGTGTCACCATGCCTGGCTGTTTCCAATGTGGCCTTGAACTCACAGAGATCCAGATGGATCTCTGACTCTGGAATGCTAGGATTAAAGGTGTGAGTGCCACCATTTTCTAGCCTTTGTATCTAGTGGCTTTTCTGTTCTCTGACTCCAGATAAGTTTATTAGGGTACACAATATTTTGGGGAACACAATACCACCACACTCTGGCTTCTCATTGAGGGATATATAGGGGTTCATTGTATAATTTCTGTAATTTATTTGTAAGTAATAATTCTATCAGAATCAAAAGTTGGAAAAGGGATGCACTGACTTTTTAGAGGACAGAAAATTAAAACTAGTAACAACCAAAATTATAACATGTTAGCAGATTCAGCCATCAGGGCAGCTCTGCCTGTGGCAGGCAGAGTCCAGTGTGAGGCTCTCAGTGCTAGTTTCAAGGACTTCAGCTTCCCTTGGGCCTGGGTTTGACCTCTGGTACTGTCCTGGGAATGGCTCCCAGGGAAAATGCCTGGACACATGTGAGGGGTGCATGGAGCTTCCTGTTGAACCTGAGCAGAAGCCATAGCCCCTGACACTGCTGTGCTGGGTGCCCCTGTAGATGCTACCTGGACTGGATTGGGGGAGGGGTTAGGTTTCTTGCGAACAGGAGATTTCCAGAGTGGAACTTCACCTGTGTTCCTCCTGAATGAGGTACCCAGGGGATGAAGGCACAAATGAGCCTCCATCTTGCAGCACATGGCCATGAATGTGTATACACACACATGTACACACATACACACACTCACACACATACACACACACACACACACACACACACACACACACACACACACAC